GGAGGGAGGAGGGAAAAAAGCAATTTCTACTGTATATAAAATTTTGTTAAAATGGTATACGGAAGATGAGACGGTGAAAGAGCAAATGCTTAAATGGGCAGTAAATGTTAATACTGAGATCTCTATGGATTCTTGGGAATATCTGTGGAAAAACTCGATTAAGATCTCGTCATGTACCAATGTGAAAGAGAATTGTTATAAAATGATGTACAGGTGGTATATGACACCTAAGAAAATAGCCAACATGAACCAAGACTTTTCTAACAAACGTTGGAAATGTAAAAAACATGAAGGTTCATTTTATCATATGTGGTGGACATGCAAAAAAGCTGTGGACTTTTGGACCAGAATCCACAGCAAAATGCAAAAATTTTTGAAATGTTCCTTTAAAAAAGCGCCAGAAATTCTGCTCTTAGGACTTAAAATGGAAGAACTGAATACTACAAAAAGAACCTTATTTTGGTACCTGATTACAACAGCGAGAATACTCTATGCACAATGTTGGAAACAAGAAAGAATTCCAGAGTTAGAAGAATGGATACAAAAAACTTTGTTTATGGCTGAGATGGAAAAAATTACAAAAAAATTGAATAATAAAGAAGATCAGGAATTCTATGAGGAATGGAGAGACTTTAAAATCTACCTAGAAAAGAACTGGGATGTAAAGCATAATCTATTATATTTAGAACAATATTGAAACTAGAATATGATGTTATCTTAAGGTATACTGGAGTGACGAGGGGGGAAGCATTGCGGGAAGCCACGGGGAGGGGGAGAGTAAAATGGGGGTATTGGGGGTAAAAATTGAAATATTAATGGAACTGATGACATGTCAATATTTTCATGAAAAATAAAATTGTGTTCAAAAAAAAAGAAGCTTGGGAAAAGAAACAAAGAAGGAAAGAATATGAAAAACTCACAAAGCAAATATTGAAGGAGGAAGATAAACTAAAAAGTACCGCTATGGGAACAGGGAAAAGCAAACCTTAGAATCCTACATCATCAAATGAATCTGATCTTAACCCAAGAAATTGCTAAAAATATAGAATTTGTGAAACAATATTACTTTGAAAATGCTAACAAACCAACAAGGTGGTTAGCGTTTAAACTGAAAAAACAAGAAGAAGAATAATAAAAGCTCTTAAAAACAAGGAAGGGGTGGAAAAGCATAAACTATCAGAGCTGAAAAATATAGCTGAAGAATTTTACAAGGAATTATATCAAGAAGATAAACAAGATACAGAATCGATAATAAAAAAACAGAAGAAAAATAAATCTCCAGAACCAGACGGGATCCCAATAAAAATATATCAAAGATACGAAGAACAGATTATACTAATATAAAAAAATTTATTACAAAACATAACCAAAACAGGGAAAATTCCAGATACATGGAACCAAGCTATAATAACATTAATTCAAAAGCCAAATACGGATGACAGAGAAATTAAAAATTACAGAACAATATCATTTTTAAATATGGACTATAAGATCTTTGCATCGATATTAGCTACAAGAATGAAGAAAATACTAGTACAAGTAATACATCAGGATCAGGCCGGATTCCTCCCAAGACGACAAATTAAGAATAACATTAGGACGATAATAAATGTTTTAGAATATTATGAAGTACACCCGGATAAAGAATTGGCACTAATATTTTTGGACGCAGAAAAAGCGTTCGATAATGTCAACTGGGAGTTTATGTTGCGAAAGCTGGAAGTATGGAATTGCGGTATGAACTTCTTAACGATTATTAAAGCCACCTATAAAAAAACAAGTAGCGAAGATACAAGTAAATAATGATATGACACAGGATATTGAAATCCAAAAAGGGACTAGACAAGGATGCCCTTTATCGCCATTACTATTTATTTTCACCTTAAAAACATTAACTGAGCAAATAAGAGACAATACTTCAATCAAGGGTCTCAGAACAAAAGGAGAAGAATTTAAAGTCCAAGCCTACGCAGATGATTTGGTATTTATATCAGAAAATCCAATAACATCAATAACTAATTTAATAGAGCTATTAGAGGAGTATGGACTAGTGGCAGGATTAATAATCAACTTTAAGAAAACAAATATACTAACAAAAAACTGTATAAAACAGCAAATAGATAAAATTCAAGCTTTATCTAAGATGGAAATAGTCAAAAAGGTTAGATATTTAGGAATTACAATATCAAATCGAAATATTACTTTAACAGAAGATAATTACAATAAGTTACTTACGGAAACTAAAAAAGATTTAGAAAGATGGAAAGATTTAAAAGTCTCAATGATGGGCAAAATTGCAATTATGAATGAATATTTTACCTAGATTTATATTTTTGGCACAAAACATACCAATTCTAGGGAAAACAAATTATTTTAAAGATTTTGAAAAAGTTTGTAGTAAATTTATATGGAATAATAAAAAAACGAGGATTAACCGCAAAAATATGCAGGATAAAAAAGAAATGGGGGACTTTGGAGTATCACATTGGAACTTATATTATAAAGCAGCTGCACTAACATGGATAAATAATAACACTAGAAAATTCTAGATTATTAAATCTTGAAGGCCATAATTTAGTAATGGGGTGGCATAAATACGTGTGGTATGAAGAAGATAAACTTTCAAACAACTTTACACAGCACACGATAAGAGGAGCATTAATGAAAATATGGAGAGAAACAAAAATGCAATATTACTAAAAACTCCTAAATGGGTGGCACCAATAGAAGTGTTAACAATACCAACACTGATGGAGAAAAGCAGGAAAGTGTCCTATGAAGACTTATTAGATACAAATAATAACTTAAAAAACCAAGAACAATTAACAATGCAAAAGGTAAAACTTACCTGGTGGGATAAAATGCAATTAATCTCAAGATACAACATAGATTTAAAAATGGGCTTTTACAAAGAGAATAACGAACTGGGTTTCAAAAACTATGACCCTGGCACATGAACACTGCTGTGCATTCTAAGCTATTCTTCAAAGACCGTTACAGAAACAGATGACAGGCACACACAGGCTTCACAATGGGTTGATTCAGCTACCACTTTAAAAATTCCCCAAACACATACTAATTAACCCTGCCATTTTTTTGGCCTAGTGAAACTCTTAGTTAAACTCTGCTTTTATTATATGACAGAGAGAACAAATACGTGTGCCCATGTGCAAGAATTCTATTTGACAGCTCTACTGTCCGCCTTACGAACCTGGCAGAAAGGGAATGATCCTTTGTTTAGGGTCCTTCTGACCGCCTTCCATTGGAAATTTGTCCAACAATTGCATCTAAAAAAAAGAGGATAGTTTTTTTGAAAAGACAGTCACTGAAACAAACTTAATGCATGAAAAAATTACCACATAAACTGAGAAATGAGGAGAAATAAAAACTTGTGTAGCAAATGCTATCTAATCTATAGGTTTATGAAAATGACAACCAAACACAAGATGGGGGGGAAATCCACAAGCCTTTTATTACAGCAAGCCAGAACTAGTATTTACTATACAGAAAACAAACAAGCAGATTCTTCAATAGGATCACTCTTATTTGACATCTTGCTCTGGTCTTGTATGGCAAGGAATTAATAGCTGTGTTAAATTCAGTCTGTTCCTTCCAGTGCCCAGGCAATAGAACCTTCTCTCTGACTTTTTGGGGAAGAACTCCACACTTCAGGAGATTAGAGGATTTCAAACTAATATCAACTGGTATCACCATAGTGACACCTAGCCTGTAGCTGAGGGTCAGGTACCGTTGGAAAGGCCAGGAGAAATATGGAAGCAGAGGAAAGCACTACAAGTTTGTTGGAAATAAAAACCTGCCTTGAGGAAGTTTTATACCAGTAGTCAATTCTGGTTCAATGAGAGACCTTTAATCTCATTCCAGACACTGCTACCGCACATTATCTCATATGTACTTGGCAGGAGCCACTCTAACAGAAGCCAACATAAATGACAAATTCTCAGGTTCTCTGTCCACACATATGATTGCTGAGTTATCAGTTATTACTTGCATGTATTTTACAAGCAGAACACCAGTAAGGATTTGCAGGGGGGATCTCATTTCACCTCCTCCATTATTTTCTCCATTCCCTCAAACCCATAATGACACCTCTCCTTTTCCTGCTTCCTTCTCTGCTTCCCACTCACCAGCTAATTTACCTTTATGTGCCCCCTCTGTCTTCAGCTTTCCTTCCTTCCCTCCCCTTGGCAGCCTCGACCCCAGAAAACTGATGCCTATTTTGTTATGGTGGGGAACCTCCAAGGAATTGGGGGCCACCTCATTTCCCCCTGCATGCTGCATGCCCTTCCCCAACTATTTCTTCTTTCCCTCCTCCTGGCAATCCCCATACCCTGCTTCCTTCTCTCCCTTCCACCCTCCAGCTAATCTACCTTTAATCTGCTTCCCATCTTCAGCTATATTAATTATTTAGTCCCTTCCATTATACCCCACCTTTCTCCACAATGGGGGTACAAAACATCCTACATCATTCGCCTACCATCCATTTTACGCTCACAACAGCTCTGTGAGGAAAGTTAGGCTGAGAATGTATAACTGGCTCAAGGTCACCCAGTGAGTTTCCACAGCAGAGAGGGGATTCACATCTGAGTCTCCCGGATCTTAGCCTGAAACCCACTACACCACAGTAGCTATCGTGGAGTAGCTGCTGATGAACAATAGCAAGCAGCCAGTCCTGAGTGGGTCATGCAAGTCTTGTGGTAGCAAGTAGCCTGGCGGTTGCTGGCATATCTGGTCCCGATGAGTCCTCCCTCAAAGACCAATATAGCCCTGGAAGGGCCCTGCCCTCTCCACTTAAAGGTTGGCAGTAGTGTTGTGATTGCCTAGCAATGGCCACTGAGAACATTTATTTCTTAAGGTTTACAGGTGTTCCTTAGGGTTCTTTTTTGGGGGGGGTTAACCCCCTCCAATGATTTTTTTTTGTAAGATTTCAGGTTTTTCTGCAAGCCTGGTGCATTTTTCAAGTTTGTAGAAAGATCTGTCTTGCCTATTCATGGCTCCAGTCTCTGGACCACAGGTTTTTATATGTTGAGAATTAGATATGCCGATATAATTCCATAGAATAGTTCCCACAGCAATTGACAGTAAAAAAAAATGTCTAGCAAAAAGTTCTAATAAAACAATGTCACCCAAGACATAATAATAAATCACAATAATAAATCCACAAAATTCCAAATTTTAAAATTTCCCGTTTCAGCCAAATGTCTCTGAAATTAAAGCATCTTCAGAGACTTTCTAAAACTCAGTAGGGAAACTATGCTGTGAGCTTCTCCACAATTGGGGCACCACCTATTATGGTTAAAAAATATTGCCCTTCAAACTAGTGCAATTTTGAACACACTATTGCATTATCCACATAAACTCCCACATGTCTTTTTGTCAGAACCCACAGCCAACAACGGAGTACACACTTCTTTAGAAAGGTTATACTTTTATTGAAGAGCCATAGATGCATTAACATAGTCACTGTTAAGAACAGCAGTTGCCTCTTGAACCTAATGAGATATAGGGCATTCGTATGCACACACCCCCACTGTGCTGGCCAATTAGGTACCCTCCCGTGCGCGGGCTAGAGCCGGCAAGCATTACTAGGTGAAGCTGGGAATTGTTCGGCTCCCACGGTCGGCCTGGAAGGCAGACAGCACACATTACCACCTGTACGTCTTTAGAGATAAGCATTTCAGCGCAAAGCAGAGAGAGAGGAATGCGAAAGCAATTTACAGAGACACTGAAAGAACATCCCAAACCCCATGGCAGCATAGCTGACATACTGCCCTGTCAAAGACAACTCCTCCCGCCCATTCTGGGAGATCTCCCGCCCATTCCGGGAGATTCCCTGGCTTGTCCAGGAAGTCCCGATGGAACTGACGTAACAGGGGTCCAAAATCTACCCATTCAACCAGATACAACAATTTTCCACGTTTGAGCTTAGAGTCCAAAATTTTAGAGATCTCGTAATGTTCCTCGCCCTCAATCATGATTGGAGGGGGCACCGGTGCTGCAGGACGCCACTCGCTGGAACCAGAATCCTTTTTTAGGAGGCTGAAATGAAACACAGAATGCAATTTCCTCAAGTTTTTAGGTAAATCCAGCTCTACGGCAACATCATTAATAACTTTTTTCGCCTTAAATGGCCCAATGTATTTCCAACCTAATCTTCTCCTCGGCCGTAGCATCTGAATATTTTTTGTGGATACATAAACCGAGTCCCCAGGCTGCAGAGCCCAACCCTCCACCCATCTCTTATCAGCCTGAACTTTTTATAAGCCTCTTTAGCAGCATTCAACGTTTTACATAGAAGTGGCCATGAGTCACGTAAACATTTGCACCACAGAGCCGCATCCCCCAACCCCATGTCTGCCTCCCCTTCCAAGAATGGGACAGGCGGGCTGTCATAACTGTACAATGCCTTGAACGGGGACATCCCCGTAGAAGAGTGACATGTATTATTATAACAAAATTCAGCTAGAGGCAATAAGTCATTCCAATCGTCTTGTTGATAGTTGGTAAAATAACGGCGATACTGTTCTAGAGTTTGATTCACTCGTTCCGTTTGTTCGTCAGTCTCTGGGTGATAAGCACTGCTGAGGCCCCGTTCCACCCCATCAGCTTCATCAGCTCCCCCCAGAAACAAGAAACAAATTGGGTCCCCCTGTCAGAGATCACCTTGTTGGGGAGCATATGTAAGCGCACCACGTGCATCAGAAACGCCTTTGTGAGTGCCTTGGCTGTAGGCAGCGAGGGAAACGGGATGAAATGTGCTTGTTTAGAAAATAAATCCACCACCACCCATATGACAGTCATCGATTTACTCGGTGGGAGATCGGTTATAAAATCCATGGATATAACCTCCCAAGGGTGGCTCGGAGTAGGAAGCGGGTGTAGCAGTCCCGGGGGCTTCCCCGGCCTGGCTTTGCTCATGGCACATATCCAGCAGGATTGGACATACGAAGATAAATCCTTCCGCATCTTTGGCCACCAAAATTGTCGGTTCAAAAGTTGAAGCGATTTAACAAATCCAGGGTGCCCCGACAGTTTGGAGCCATGCACTGCTTGCAATACCTCCCCCCCTGAGTGCTAGGGGGACAAATAGTTTATGTTCCTGGTACCAACAACCATCTTCCCTCATTTCAAAACCACCCTCTGCTTGTAGAACAGCTTTGTCAGCCTCCAAGTGCGCGGAGGCGAACTTACTGTGCCAAGTGTCCATTCCCCCCCTTCCTGGCCAGAAGGAGCGGGCTGCGTTGTCACCGGGGGAAAGGAGTGAGGCGTGCTTGTTTGTGTGTAGTTACCGCCCCGCCCAACTGGGAAGGCATGAACACCGAGTCCAAGACCACCTCCCGTGGGCTATCGTGTTGGGGTAGGCGGGACAGGGCGTCAGCCAACGAATTCGCTGAGCCTTGGAAGTGGTGAAAGGTGAACTGGAATTTGGAAAAGAAATCAGCCCACCGAAGCTGTTTGGCATTGAGATACCAAGGCATTTTTAGCGTTTCTATGGTCAGTCCACACCTTGAACGGGACTCGCGCTCCCTCCAACCAATGCCGCCAGGTGGACAGTGCGAGTTTTATTGCTCTTTCTCCGAAACAGACCAGTTCCGTTCAGTGTCACTGAATTTCCTTGACATGTATGCCAAGGGGTGAAGCAACCCATCCCCTCCCTCCTGGAGGATGCCCCCCCCATGGCCACATCTGATGCATCTGTTTGTACAATGAACTTTTTAGTCTCATCAGGGTGAGCAAGTACAAGTTCCGAAGTGAACAAGGCTTTGAGGCGTTCGAAAGCCTTCTGGCAATCTTTATTCCAAGGCAACGCTGCTCCCAGCTTTGTAGCCTCCGGGCCCTTCCCCTTAGTTTTTAATAGATCCGTCAGGGGTAAACTGACGTGGGCAAAATTGGCTAAAAAATTTCTGTAAAAGTTCGTGAATCCTAAGAAGGATTGGAGCTGTCGTCGGGTGCGGGGTACCCCCCACCCCAATACATTTTAATTTTTTTTATTTTACTATAAAAAACTACAATACAAAATGGCGTCTCTTTGTCAACAATTCCACTGTGAGTCATAGCATAAAAAGTCTATATAAAAAAAGAAAAAAAAGGTTTTGGTTAGGAAATCTAGACTAACCAAATACCAGTAACTTGTATTTGGCTTTAGATATACTTTCCCAATCAAAGGTGTCAATGTCCATTTTATCTAAGATAGGGTACCAGATATTTAGTATGGGGAGGCGATTAAAGAGAGTGGTTTGGGGTTTTTTTGTACCACAATAACTCTTGG